AAAATGTTGATAACAGAACAACACCACCATCCCCCACTGCCCCCATCCTCCCCACCCTCCATCCATTCCAAAACAAGGTGAGAGATTAATGTTATCTGTAAAAAGAACTTGTGAAAACTTTGGAAAAAAAACTTTGCAAAGCATACAGCTATCTTGAAGAAAAATTAGTATAAGGAATATGTATGAAAATGTGGCAAGGATAGGTTGGGAGTATAGAATAAGATATGTTTGTTTCTCTGTTGCTCCCTACCATGCATTCCTTGGGAAGGTGCAAAATGGACTGGTCTGTATTGTCATAGTTGTATCCTTGGGCATGATACTTTACTCTGGATGGCTTACCATAGGGCTCCCCTCTCATATGTTGTTCAGTAAGGTATATGTAGCCACCAGCTACTACAAGGAGACCATGCCTCCACATGACCCTGGCTGTTGTGAAGGCCATAAACCAAACATATTTATTTGATTGCTTGAATATAGGTTCAGCACTAGCGCTGTAGCAGGTGTGACTAGGGGCTGGTGAAATTGGTGTAAAGTAGAAGTAAAAACATAGTATATTTATGGAAGAATTAGGGGGAGGTAGGGCAACTAATCTTATCTGACCCATATCATGACTAGATAAGATAGTGGCCACAAAAAGCTACTATTTAAATGCTTTTTGGATCCCTCTCCATCTGGAATCTAGTTCAACTCAGTACCCATTTCCTGTGGTATGATGGATAGTTGTCAATCCGCTGTAGGACACCCTAATTTTAACTGCTTCTTTTTACTTTACTTACTATTGAGGGTATTTTCCTAGTCTGCTGTAAGTTCACATTTATAAAATGAGGTAATTCATGATCCGGCTTTAAGATTATGTACCGGTAAAGCAATGGAGTTCTATTTTTGATATTTTTCAATCTTGCTGTTTCATGCTGGGTTTTCTTTCAAATGTTGGATGATGAGTAAGAGATTTAGGGAATAATACTTTATATCTGAAGGATAGAATGCCTATGCACTGGTATATTTTTACTTATATCATAACTGATTCAGGTAGTTTTAACCTGCTCAAAGGATGCTCACAAGAAACTTCTTGTAATCAAAGATCTAAACTGCAAATAGACATTTCTTGTGAATATCAAATACTATATAATATTATATTAATTTCCATTACCTCTATTTGATAACTTGATATCTATAATAACAATTTTAAACTAACAATGGTGAAATATTTTGCACTCTGTACACATGGTAATTTTTGTTTACTATGTTAGAGATTCTTGCTGTGAGTTCCTGGTAAGGAACTTTACTTTGTTAGAGATTCTTGCTGTGAGTTCCTGGTAAGGAACTTTACTTTGTTAGAGATTCTTGCTGTGAGTTCCTGGTAAGGAACTTTACTTTGTTAGAGATTCTTGCTGTGAGTTCCTGGTAAGGAACTTTACTTTGTTAGAGATTCTTGCTGTGAGTTCCTGGTAAGGAACTTTACTTTGTTAGAGATTCTTGCTGTGAGTTCCTGGTAAGGAACTTTACTTTGTTAGAGATTCTTGCTGTGAGTTCCTGGTAAGGAACTTTACTTTGTTAGAGATTCTTGCTGTGAGTTCCTGGTATTCTTGTGAGTTCCTGGTAAGAACTTTACTTTGTTAGAGATTCTTGCTGTGAGTTCCTGGTAAGGAACTTTTTACTTTGTTAGAGATTCTTGCTGTGAGTTCCTGGTAAGGAACTTTACTTTGATTAAGAGATTCTTGCTGTGAGTTCCTGGTAAGGAACTTTACTTTGTTAGAGATTCTTGCTGTGAGTTCCTGGTAAGGAACTTTACTTTGTTAGAGATTCTTGCTGTGAGTTCCTGGTAAGGAACTTTACTTTGTTAGAGATTCTTGCTGTGAGTTCCTGGTAAGGAACTTTACTATGACCTGGTTTATTTCATGACTTGAAAAACTTTTGATACATGAAGATATATGGTGCATGTCACAAAGTGATGAACTCAATTCTTTTAGTAACAATGTGTATGTCTCAGAGCTGATCTCAAACTCAGGAATAATTGGATCCTCGGAGGCAAAAAATGGTAATGGTGTTAGTTGTTGAACAGGAAGCAATAACAACAGATGGTTTAATATGTGATTGGAGATTTATATCTACAGAGGTTGTTATGGAGTCACTTGTTCTCTATGTATCAATTGATATCTGATATATCTACTTGTGTGTATTTCTTTCTTTACCAAATGAAAGTGTTTTAACCTGTCTGAGACTTGATCTCGTGTGGAAACAATAGTGAAATATTTCGGGAATGGATAGATAATTTTTATGTGTCTGAGAAGTTCGTGTGTTGTTGACAATATTGACTAATTGGTTCCTCACACTAACAGAGCTACATTTCACAGAAAGCAAATATTCACCTCCATATCCAACAACAGTAAGAGAACTATTTAACCAATATTTTGATGCAGAATAAGAGAAAAAAGGCAGTTCTCAAGGCTGCGTAGGCTGTGAGGTGTGCCAGTATAAAAGGGATTTTGTTAACAATGAGGGTTTGCCAACAAATAAGGGAAGTTGCTTTGTCAGAACTGTCATATTGTGTTTCATATCCTCATTTGTCACCTGTCATCACATATTAACAGAGTTAATGTTGATACTTAATATCCCCATGTGTTTTCTACTACTGTGCTTCCCCCAGACCAAGGAGCGGCCTAGCTTTTGATGTGTCATGTCTATATCTGGTGGGCTGATGTGACATTGTCTTGGAAGGAAATTTGGAAATGTCAGACTGACAGGGTTTACATGATTAGTACTAATAAGCTCCATTGGAGGACAAGTGTCACTGAAATTTAAATTTGATGGGAAATCAGATGTGATTCTTGTTTTATACATGTGTTTACCACTGTGTTACCATTGACAGTTTTCAAGAATAACAAATTGGGGAATGAAACTGTGTGGACTTAAAAACTTTAGATTTCTTATTAGGAGATTTATTTTTTCATTTGGAAGTATGCATTGCAGAATGTAAGAAGGAATTAATTGATATCAGTTTTACTTGAGTCAATACAAATTTATGGACTAATTAATAAAAAGTGTTGGTTTAAATTGCAGTTGACTTTACACTGGGATAATTAAAATTCTCCAAAACTGTTTTGTTCTTCTGGAGTTGTGAAATCCAATTTTGCAAATATAGCAACAGCTTTCATTACTGTTATAAAAGGCTTGGAATTAAGTTCTTACTAACTTTAATTTTATGACAATTCTAACAACGTTGACAAGAATTTAACAGAATATATGTAAAATAATTCTAATGGGACACCTAAATATACAGCGGTGACTTTATGGTGATTTGGTGTTCATTGAGGATATTTGGATCCATATTTTTCAATTCGGGTGTTGAACAAATGGGATGTGTAAACTTCCGGATTTGATGGAGTCTGTATTTAGCCAACATAGTGTGAAGTGCTGAAGGCCTGAAATGCCACATTCGTGAAAGTATAGTGACAGGATTTTAGGGAGATGTGCAATTGCATTAAGTCCTCTATTACAACATATAGTGTTCTTCAACAGACTGGATTTAACTTATCACAAACAAAAAAGCTTGCTAACAAGCCTCAGATAGTTCATATCTCTGTATATAAAAGATCACCTCACAGCCTTTCTGTAGAATGTGTATGTTTTACACTCTAAAATCCAGTCTGCCTTGTTTAGATTGGAGGGATTGTGGTTATGTTGTCTGGTGCATTACCCCCTTAGTTTTGAGACTCGGCAGCTTATCAGACACAAGCAGATTTGAATTATCATAGTTTCTTAAACACTAGGCAGCTGCTAAGGTTTTTAGGAGATTTTAGAAGCTACCAAGGACTTCACTCTCAAGAAAATTTCAAATATCAAAACAAATGTAAAGAGTTATGTAATATATGAATTTGAAAGTGTATCCAATATTTTGAAATTTCAAACTTGGAATTCATTTCATTTAAGCAATTTGATATATTTTCCTGGGAAATTGATTTATTTCTGTGAGAAAAGTCAATTTACCTAAAGCATATAAGAAAACAAAAAGCTTGGCGCAGACTCTTTCTGTGATACATGTGCAGCCCATCATGCATGTGCATTATCTTGAGAATTATATGCAGAGATAACATAACTTTAAGGGCGTTGCTTTTTTTCAGTCGACCATGATATTGCTTTTTCAGGTGTCTACAGAAAACATATAAAACACATCTGACAGCATTAAAAATTTTCTAGACTCACACAAATTTAGGATATTATAAAAATCAAATTGAGAACTAAAAAAATTTGGTTTCTATTTATGTATAACGATATTTATTTCTGTGGACTAGTACTTACATATTGCTCCATGCTGTATTCATATGGAAGCTTAAAAAAGAACTGGAGCTGTTTGTAGCCAACTGTGCTGACTTTGAGAAAGAGTGATAAGAAGGAAGGTCATTATCAGATTCATAAACATTTATATGTGGTACCTACAACTGTATGTGTTGTAGGGGATACAGTTATAAACATTTATTTATCTAGTCCCTGCCAGTTAGGACATACACCCAGTTTCCACTGGCCCCAGGTAGGAGTAACATCTGCAGAACAGAGAGACTGGAGACCCTGCTAGCTCATTTTTAACCAGTAAATCTATATATCATCTCCATCATACTGTGTTCTGAGGAACATATAGTCATAACAAATATCTCCCCCTACAGCAGTAATCTTCACAAAGGAACACTGGACAGTGATTTAATGCTTAGTCTTCAGAGGTTGGATGTTTGTGTCGTTTGTAAGCCGGACTTAAAATAGTCTTGTCCTGACATGAGTCCCATAATTTTTTTCTTCCCACAAAAGTGATTTTTTTCTGTTTTCATTAGAGGAACTCATTGTGGTACGTTCAGTATCTTCATATCTACTACTGGTATTGAACCAAAAATAGACTTGAGGTGCTATACTAACGTGTGTGACCGACTGCATCATCAACACATGTTTTTGTGATCTATTTGTGTTGTCAGTATATATATATATACATTCAGAGACTTGTTGGAAATCAGTAGTGTGATGTTTGTGTAGAGGATACTACCAGGAAAAACACAGAAAAATGCTATCTGGCATTGTTCGATATCGAAAAACTTGGATGACAAAAACGGAAAAAAAATATTGAGAAGAATAATTGCTGCAACTTGGGGAATACAACTGTAGTATCCTGTGATTGTAGGATACTGTTGAGATACAAGAAGGAGGAATACGTGGAAACACTTATTGTAAGTTATACGTACACTGGATTAACTACAGATGGTATGGAAATGGGCATCAACTGACCAGTATTCATACTGGATTAAGTGCAGATGGAGTAGAACTGACCAATAGTGTATATAAACTGTAGCAGGAGAGACTTGTCACTTTCACATTTGTTACAGAAACTATCTGAAATCATTAGTATTTCTGGGATGTTTTTCTAAGATCGTATGTTGGCTGCTGTGGTGTGGCGTTTTTCCTGGTAGTATTCCACAACCACACACTACTAGAGTGAACTTGTAAGATATAAACCATGTGTATCTGCTACCAAGTGGCTCATTATCTCAATTAGAAACCTACCATCACCCCTAGTTACATTCCTCCTGTCTTCCCAGCCACACATTTCTAAATTCTTCTCAAAATCTGCAGATGTATTTTCGATGAAAACTATAGGTTGTCTTGGAAACACATGACAATCCATTGCAAAGAAGTTGCAAGTTATACTCGTTTCTTGGGTATCACAATTATGGGATATTCCATTACGGAGTTTTTGCAGTTAACAGCAGTTTCTGTTTAGCGGTGTGATTTCGGATGTTATGTGTGCGAGGGGAATGCCATTCATGAATACATTGGATTATAAACCTTAACTTGAGAGTCTTCATTCCTATCAACTTACTATTTGGATGTGTTCACGTGTAGAATCCTAAGGATGCAATCCATTTCACTGGAATCGTTTAATAGCATGTAATTTTGTGTTACATGTATTTCAAATACATGTTTTGTTAGGAGAAAGCTTTTATTTATTCATTTCATTACATCAGTGCCAAAAGAATTAATCTGAATCGGTTTCCTAGTCTGATCAAATCTAATTGGTAGATTAGCTTTTATGGAACAATGTCTTCAAATACAAGAATTTGGATTTAAGTCTTCTGGAGAACATTCTGTTTTAATTGTTGTGTTTGGAATTTTGGATGTAGGTATTTGCTTGGAATTTATCTTTGAACAAATTGGGATTCAACTTTTGTGGTAGGTATTTTCTCTGGATTTATAAATATGAAGACATCTTGGTTATCAACATTTTCGAATGATAATAGAAAGCGAGCTCCAACTCCAGAGTTTCCAGTCAACATGTCTGATCTTCCACCAGACTCTGGCACCCGTACAACCCCACGGACCCCTAGAGCACACCATGGCCAGGATGTGATTCGAAGTGTCAGGGGCCGCAGCAGTACACCTGACAGGGGTCGGCCTCAGAGCCCAGTTGTCATCAAGTACCCAGTTCCTGTCAATATAAACATGCAAACCATTCCACCATCCCCAAGGTCAGGACGAAAGGTCAAGGCCATTCCGGATAGCCCACGTGTGCTACGGAACCGTCCTCCCAGTCCAGATGAGTCTTTGCTCCATGACTTGTCTTGGCTGCAGCACCATAACGTTTGGTCCGAAAGGCAAGGATCCTTGTTAGTTGATTATTTATATATACTCTGCATCTTGATATAACACAGTGTTCTAGTTTTCATGCTGAATGTGTGTCATCTTGCAAAGCTGACATAGTTACAGTATCTGTTGACAAAGTTACAACCGGTATATACATGATGACATTGTTATATGATATGTTGATATAGCTACAGTGCATGTTGACATAGTTACAGTGCATGTTGACATATTTACAGTATCTGTTGACAAAGTTACAACTAGTAAATACATTGTAACTGTATATCATGGCATTGTTACTGTATATGACATAGTTACAGTTGATATAGTTACTGTGCATGTTGTGCATGTTGACATAGCTACAGTGCATGTTGACATAGTTAGTGTATGTTGACATAGTTACAGTATATGTTGACATAGCTACAGTGCATGTTGACATAGTTAGTGTATGTTGACATAGTTACAGTATATGTTGACATAGTTACAGTGTATGTTGATATAGTTACAGTGCATGTTGACTAGTATATCAACATATTAACAATAGAGAGCTAAACATTTACTGTAAGTTTCATGTGTTTACCATACATCAACTGTTAGTTTCATGTGTTAACCATACATCAACTGTTAGTTTCATATGTAAACCATACATCAACTGTTGGTTTCATGTGTAAACCATACATCAACTGTTAGTTTCATGTGTAAACCATACATCAGCAGTTAGTTTCATGTGTAAACCATACATCAACTGTTAGTTTTATGTGTTAGCCATACATCAACTGTTAGTTTCATATGTAAACCATACACCAACTGTTAGTTTCATGTGTTAGCCTTACATCAACTGTTAGTTTCATGTGTTTACCATACATCAACTGTTAGTTTCATGTGTAAACCATACATCAGCAGTTAGTTTCATGTGTAAACCATACATCAACTGTTAGTTTTATGTGTTAGCCATACATCAACTGTTAGTTTCATATGTAAACCATACACCAACTGTTAGTTTCATGTGTTAGCCTTACATCAACTGTTAGTTTCATGTGTTTACCATACATCAACAGTTAGTTTCATGTGTTAGCCATACATCAACTGTTAGTTTCATATGTAAACCATACATCAACTGTTAGTTTCATGTGTAAACCATACATCAACTGTTAGTTTCATGTGTTAGCCATACATCAACTGTTAGTTTTATGTGTTAGCCATACATCAACTGTTAGTTTCATATGTAAACCATACACCAACTGTTAGTTTCATGTGTTAACCATATATCAACTGTTAGTTTCATGTGTTAACCATATATCAACTGTTAGTTTCATGTGTTAACCATATATCAACTGTTAGTTTCATGTGTAAACCATACACCAACTGTTAGTTTCATGTGTTAGCCTTACATCAACTGTTAGTTTCATGTGTTAACCATACATCAACTGTTAGTTTCATGTGTTAACCATATATCAACTGTTAGTTTCATGTGTTAGCCATACATCAACAGTTAGTTTCATGTGTTAACCATATATCAACTGTTAGTTTCATGTGTTAGCCATACATCAACAGTTAGTTTCATGTGTTAACCATATATCAACTGTTAGTTTCATGTGTTAGCCATACATCAACTGTTAGTTTCATGTGTAAGCTATACATCAACTGTTAGTTTCATGTGTTAACCATACATCAACTGTTAGTTTCATGTGTTAACCATATATCAACTGTTAGTTTCATGTGTTAGCCATACATCAACTGTTAGTTTCATGTGTTAGCCATACATCAACTGTTAGTTTCATGTGTTAGCCATACATCAACAGTTAGTTTCATGTGTTAACCATATATCAACTGTTAGTTTCATGTGTTAGCCATACATCAACAGTTAGTTTCATGTGTTAACCATATATCAACTGTTAGTTTCATGTGTTAGCCATACATCAACAGTTAGTTTCATGTGTTTACCATACATCAACTGTTAGTTTCATGTGTTAACCATACATCAACTGTTAGTTTCATGTGTTAGCCATATATCAACTGTTAGTTTCATGTGTTAGCCATACATCAACTGTTAGTTTCATGTGTTAACCATATGTTATCAACTGTTAGTTTCATGTGTTAACCATACATCAACTGTTAGTTTCATGTGTTAGCCATACATCAACAGTTAGTTTCATGTGTTTACCATACATCAACTGTTAGTTTCATGTGTTAACCATACATCAACTGTTAGTTTCATGTGTTAACCATATATCAACTGTTAGTTTCATGTGTTAGCCATACATCAACTGTTAGTTTCATGTGTTAGCCATACATCAACTGTTAGTTTCATGTGTTAGCCATACATTAACTGTTTATTTCATGCTTTAACAAATTGTTCCTGCATTAAGTCTAGTGGTCAGTATATATCTAAATTACAACCACAGTAAGGGGTTGGGCTTTTATCAGAATGAATGGGTGGACTTACTACTGGATAAATATGGTACTACCCATGCTACTACATGTGTTTCTAGCTCCTAGCCTACGTGTACCAACTAGGGTCTGCATAAAGGCTGTCAAAGTTTTTTTTTGTGTGTGTTCAGCTGTTTTACTTTTAATGCCATGCCATTTTCTGTTTCTTGTCACCAGTAATCATATTATTTTTGTAGTGATGTTACTTCCTTGTCCTGTTACATGTCTGTGTTTACATTAAAATATAAACAAAACATCCATTAAGATTTAAGAATGTAAAACTGGTTGATATCAAGACATTTAAAACCTCACTCACGTGCACATGTCCTTTTTTTCTCAACCAAATACCTTTTTTCTTTGATGTCTTCAAGTACATAAACAATAGGTAGATAACGCCATGGAATTTGTTGGCTTTCAGATGAAAACATGAATAAGAATATCAAAACTGACAATATACCAATAAAACTTACTTCTATTGTATATGAAAAAAAGACAAACAAAACAGAAACCAAGAGTGACAGTCTTTTAGTAAGTTTTTGCCAATGCTGAACACACAAAAAAGAATTAAGAGGTGCCTTAACTGACAGTCTCTACTTCTGTTGTGCACACATAGCAGATCTCCAAAGTGTCTGAACTGATGTATAGTCTCCTTATGATGTAATAAATTCTCAGCAGAGATATTACAAGTATAATCATATTTAGCAGCTACAAAGCAACAGAAGCAATTTTTAGGTGTTGCTTTTCTGCCTACATTAACCTTTAGAAGTTGAGATTAGTCCACTTTCTCATAAAGATTTAATACATTTTGGTCGTAGGTTTGTAATTTTAATTGAGACATAACTTAAGTTTTAAAAAAAGTTTAAACTAAAAAAAATTTTGTTAAGTGGATGTCGAGGCCCATTGACAGGTCCTTCAATAATTTGCAGGCTGACTTTCAATTGTGTACAAACCTTTAAAACAGTATATGCCATAACACAATAGGTTTTGGGCTTATTGTATAAAAATTTTCTTCTGTTTTTCTTTGTGTTGCAGGATTTCATTTTGGAGTGTCTCATTATGGATACTTTAAAACATAGTGATGCAATTAGCTTTATTAAAACACTACTAATGGTGAAACAATAGCAATATTGAATTTTATGTTCATGTTTTAATGTTAAAACATAACTACTCTAGGTTCTCTAATCATTATAACAACTCTAAAGGCATACTCATAAACAAACCTCCAGGTCATGTATCTATTTTTTTTCCTGATAAATGCAAGTTATTATTTTTTCCCCTTAATGATGTACAGTCATGTGATGCTTGTTCAGTTTTTAGATAACGTGTATGATTGTTATCTATGTAAGTCACTGTTAAATTAGTACACTGTGTTTTATCATTTAATTACTTTGTCTTGTACAGCTTCTGGCAATAGCTACATGGTATCACTTTGTGTACATGATTATACTCAAAGATCTCATGTCTGCCAAGATTTTATTTTAATAGACCTTGATTAAAAATTTAAATTAGAGCTCAAAGTGTGCATAAAATATGGATAAAAACGATGGAGAATCTGTTTTACTCCGAACAGGAAACAGCACTTCCTGCCTATGTTGCCAAAATGTCCGCCCCAGGGAAAATGTTGAAAGTGTCTGTTTGGAATTTTTATTGCAGGAAAGTTTTCATTACTTTCGAGGATATCATTTACTTTTAAGATTGATGTGATGGCTTTTGTTAATTGCCTTTCAGTTAAAACCAACTTTTAATGAAGCTTTCTTTCCCCTTTTTGTAACAATTCTTCGCTTTTGTGTCAGTAAAGTAGTAGCATTGAGTACTTTATTTTTGAAAATTTACCATTATTTACATGATATCAACCTTACACCCTAGTGTGGCTCCAGACCTTCTGTTTTCAGTGTCTCATGTCTCTCTATAACTCATACAATTTATCCCCCACTTGTAGAAGTGGCCCCAATCCTGTTTTCAGTGTCCCATATGTCTCTCTATATAACACATAGAATATAACCCCTACCCATAGAGGTGGCCCTGATTCTTCTGTTTTCAGTGTCCCATATGTCTCTATATAACACATACAATATAACCCCTACCTGTAGAAGTGGTCCCAATCCTTCTGTTTTCAGTGTCCCATATGTCTCTCTATAACATACAATATAACCCCTACCCATAGAAGTGGCCCCAATCCTTCTGTTTTCAGTGTCCCATATGTCTCTCTATGAAACATGCAATATAACCCCTACCCATAGAAGTGGCCCCAATCCTTCTGTTTTCAGTGTCCCATATGTCTCTCTATAACAAATACTATAAAACCTCCATCCTTACTTCACAACCTGCCAAAATGATTGATAAAGCTATACTTATTCATGAAATCAAGTGTCCACGAAATAGAAATTTTTGAAAAACTACAAATTTGCAGTATCTACATATCACACAAGATGTTTACTTATTGTTCGAGAATGAAACTTCCTCTCCATTATATTCCCACATGGACATTACTTCCTATGATTTACATAAGAGTTAACTTTCATTTCTAATGTTTGAATTATAGTGGGCATATGATGGATGGACAATTTCTGTTTTATTGAATGTTATTGGCATCTCT